CTCTCAATACCTGGTTCTCTTGTTCCAAACGTGCCTGGTTTTGCTGGAGTTGCAAAACCATATCAGACAACTGTTGGATCTGCTGTTCCAATGCCATGGTTTCTTAATCTCAACCCCGAAGGCGCTGCTCTCGCACCTTTTCCGCTACGGACGATTCGTCCGATCTCCGGCCCCTCTTCTTTTGTTTCTGCGGTCCTTTCAACCGCTGAAGTTGTTTCTGCGGTCTTCTCAACCGCTGGAGTGGTGCTTGCGGCTGGATCCGCCGCTGATGTGGCTGGCAAAGGCTCTTTCTCCTCCTCCTCTTTTTCTTTACTTCCTTCTCCTTTTCCACTCGGGGCGGCAGAAGCTGCCGCTCCCGAGGATCCCAGCTCCTCCTCCTCGGAGCTCTCGACTTTACTGTGTCTTTCTTCCTTTAGGCGGAGTGCTCGGTCCCTGTCACTCTCACCGGACCCTTTCGCTACCATGAAAACGAGGTTTCGACGTTTCGGAACGCCTTTTCACCTTGAGCCAAAACACGTCATGAGTCTCGTGTCTGCAGTACTCTAGCGGAGTATTTATGGGCTGTACATGCAAACACTAGATAATTAATATATATATATATATAGAGAGAGAGAGACTATAGATATATTAGACGCCTCTGAGAATTGATAGGCCTGCCAAGCACAAGTCTTTGCGCTTGGCACCCCCCACAAACGGAGTGACACCTGAATCATTTGATCTGACCATTCGGTGCGGCTCTTGCTAACTCATTGGGTTATCTTCGGCCATGAACTCCGTGGGCTTTTGATCGTTCAGTCTCAACTCTCATGGTTCGGCGATCCATTTTCCATGTTCCTCTTCGCCGGAATTCGTGTGACACGAAAAAGGCGAAGACGCCGCTCTGAATTCTAAACAGGATCGATCAGACTCCCAAAGACAGAAAACTGACTTGCTGCTCCCCGAAAAGACCCGCCTTCACCGGAGATCCGATAAGTCACCTGGCACTCATCTCCTGTCCTGGGCGATGTGTAGGCCTTCCAGAGATGGAATCAGTATACTGCCCCAATGTCATGCATTTGGAGTGTATCTGATCTTTGCGATCTTGGGATGCATCACCATTTAACTAACAAAGCTACGGCAAAATTTGCAGGATTAACTACTGAATCACGAAATCTCCCCGGAGGATTGCCCAATGTGTTGCACTCCACTCGTCGAACCGGGCCGTCCGAGCTGCCGTGGGCATCGCCCCTCTGAAGTCTTGAGGATGGTCTTCACTGCAGCTCCATCTTCGAAGAGGTCTTCTCCTCACTTCTCCGATTAAGCCCCCTTTCCTATGCCAAACATCCCCTCACAAGAAAATGACCAAGTACCACCCACAAAACTGAGGGTTGCTGCTGGATCCGCTGCAAATTCTTCTCCGGGGAGGTGATGCCGTAAAAAGCCGGGGCAGCGGATCACATAGTTCAAGTTGGATTAGCAACATATCATTTTCGGCACCCCACCGAAGAATCCTCTTTTCGTGCTTGTGATGTGCGGCCCCTTCCAGGTCTGAAAAACCAAGTTGCCCTGCCGATCCTTCACACCAACATGGGCCATGGTCCGGTTGGTGAAGGGAAGACGGAGCTTGGTAGGGAAGGTCCGGTTTTCCATGTCTATGTCAACAATCAGAAGGTTCAAACTGCCAGTGCCCCTAATCTGGGGAAGGTTGAAACACCCGTCATTGAGCCAAGTCTCTCAAGGGACAAGCGACCAACTCCACCTTGCCAGCTCAGAGGTGAGCTCGCACGTCGGAAAACTCATGTCATGCCCAAGCTGGGCGTCCCAACTGGCAGTTTCTACGGGGCTTGGATGGGTTTTGCCAAACCAAAATTATCAAAACCATTTGTCAGCCTACCTGAACAAGTCAACACATGTCAACACCGTCTCACTAGACCAGCTGCATTTTGGGCCCCTTCGTCTGGCTGCCTGCAAGCCCTTTCCCGTTCTCTCGACTAGCCGGGCTTTCGGTCGGCCTCAAGCTTGGCTGTGCTGACCGGCCCCTCAATGCAAATGTCTTCTGCATCCAGCATCGACGTGGGCAGTGTAAAATCAGCATGCTCACCTTTGTACCTCTGGCCCACTCCGCAAGGGATGAACACATAAATGGAACGCAAGCGCGGGCCAGCACAAAAGGAGGCAAGGACAGATTGGCAAAGCCTTTCCGGAATCAAAAACACCCTATTTAGGTGGACATAGCTTCCAATAGGGAAGCAAACCAAGAGGCAAACAAACAAACAGTGCTCAACAAGTGGACTCCTTCAAACCCGTCTTTGGGGCATCTTCATGGAAGCAGCCCCATTGCAAGAGGAGTTGTTGCATGAAATGAAGCAACACAAAAAAAGGTTCCCCTAAGGACCGCTTGACGTTGGATTGGTGCCAAGGTCTTGAGGAAAGCGCCCACCCGGACAGGACATCTCCAGTTTTCACACTTTCGCACCACATGTTGTGGGCGATCACAAGCCCAAAAGTGCCAATGTGGTTTCGTCTACAGAAACACCGCGATCAGCACAAACTAGCATGGACACCTGAACCCAACATAGTGACCCTCAGATGGAGAAACACATGGAGACAAGTGCAGCTCAAATCGTTTCATTCTCTTTTCCGGGCAGGAGCTGGAGAGGACCAAAGCGATTCGTCAGCCATGCCATAGATCCATCCAAGGCACATATGCTGCACAGCCATATCCACAGCATGGACTGAAGCTTCGCCTACTTTGAACTTCGTTGTTTCAGCTCCTGTGCAGCTCTGTCACTTTCAGCATGAGACAAGGGCATGGATTTATATATATATATATCTGGTGTGACTATGTGTGACTCGATATGAGGAATTCCGAAGACGAATCAAAGGACAAATCTTGAGAACAAACCATATTTACGACTGGTAGGTACCTTGCAAGCCTTGCACAAACAACACTGGAGAACTGCAGGGAGCATTGAGGGGTGTGGTGTGCGGAGTTTGTTCAAAGACGGCGACATAAATTCTCAAAACTAGTTGTCGAGCAGAAGCAGCATCCCTTGTTTCAAGTCATTACCAATGAGAATTGGTGGACTTGCACAATGCTGAAACACCGCCCGGACGCAGCCTAAAACCATCCAAGCTTCTCTAGATATCTTAAGACCAAAAGCAGCATGCTATGTTTATTTCCTCTAGTGAAGTCGTTTGTTCCCCTGCGCAGGGAGGATCCCGTCAAATCGAGTGACTCTAAGCCCCATCACAATAATTGGAGGAGGCCTTCTTTGACACAGGTGAGTTGATTGACGAATTGATCTATTCATGTCCACGTTCAACCGGTGAACCGTGGCCAGCACTGTGGACATACGCGGCACATCCCACAAAGCTTAAAGACCAGTTTGGAAATGGCTAGGCTTGTCATTATTTCTCCGGATTGATGTCGTTTGCTCCCCTCCATTTTGTTGACCGGCAGGCGCATTTTCTCGGTGATAGAGCGAGCCTCTCCTGCCGCCTTGCCAAAACACGGCAGCTAGACCGTGAGGTTGAAACAAAATAGGACAAACCTTACTCTGATCCGCCACCCATACTCACCAATCCAATTCACAGGAAGGGAGACGATGCTACAACACTTCCGCAGAGTACAGCTTGGCAATTAACATGGGTGCTCGTCCAAACCTGCACGAAACCCTGCGGCCAGCCACTCGCAGCGGCAGCAACTCAAGCTTTCTGCCCCCTTCCATCCAGCCTGTGGAGTGCAGCTGACGACCCGCGAAGGAGAAAGTGAAGCGCACTTCAACCTGGGCACCGTCGTCGTCGCCGTCGTCTGTGCCTTCTGCCTTCGTTGCACAGTTGGTTTTGACCCATGCATCCTCATGTCAGGGAGTTAGCTACGTGCCACTTGCTGCTATCATCTACGGAGACAGTGGCCCATCCAGCTCGTTCCGTGCAAGCTCCCTAAGCTTTGTGATTCCACTGCCATGATTTCAAGCTCTCACAGTAGCTCCCCAAAGACCTGGTTTCAACCCCAACCCCAACCCCACCGCCATGTCTCATGCACATCCCCGCGTACCTTATCTCCCTCATAGGGCGGCAAAAACTTCCGGCTGGGCGGATGCCGGGTGGTTTGCTTGGTGACGCCAGCGGGAAGATCATCGATCTCCATGGCAAGAAAAGTCAAGAAGTCAACTCAGGCCATGGTTGGCCATGGGCTTTGGGAAGCTTTGCTTGGCCTTCCCTTTGCGCATACTGTTTGTGTGATCCGTGTCTGGCTTTGGCTTGGTCTTTCCCAATGGTTGAGGCAACGGGGATGTATATGTCTGACCGGATGGGTTTCGTGGGATGAAAGTTGAGCGGCTCGTCCAGTTTCTATGGCAGTGTGGCTGTAGGAGTGTATGTTAGCTGGGACCGCATGTAGGTCACAATGGTATCGATATGGCTGATATACTGGCTGATATGGCTCTGGCTTGTTAGCAAGGATGGGGGCCTTCCGGCTGCTTGTGGAAAATGGCTGCGATGACTGCAGAATCCTGTCGGGCTGACAGGCGACTGTACACGTGCGGGAAGGCACAGGATGGCATAGGGGCCCATGGGCGGATTCCAACTATATAGTATTATATAGTGTTTTCGGGACCGGATGAGCATGGAATGCCGTAAGAAGTGCCCGACTGCCCAAGGATCAATTCCTCCGCTCGATGCGGAGAATGAATCAAGTATCCGCACCGCAAAGCATGCCTAGGTGAACTCTTTCAAGAGACAGAACGGTCAATAGACCTTCAATAGAGCCTTCAAGAAAGACTCGTGACCCCGGGCCTTAGGGAACTACAACCACCTCATCCCTCCATATCACGCTAAGTACAACGAGCCTTTGGGATGCTAAGTGTTGACCTTGGCTCAGGGATCAGTCGAGTTGGGACGCCTCACTTGCCATCAAATCACTGCACACCATATCCAAGAGCTTCTTCGTCGCATGATTTCCACGGAGTAGTGTAATAGCGCCGCTCGAGCCATTCAACCCACCCTGGAATCCTGGCCTTCAGGGCATTTGATCTGCTCGCAAGGGGAAGGGCAATAGAAGCCTGGCTTGCCACTTGCCAGCTACACCGAAGATGCATGAAAAACGCACTTGGTCGCACTTGAGGTCAGCAAAGTCCAGGGCTGGGTTCTGTAGATTGTTTTTCTCTACTATAATATGAGCTCGTGTGCAATCTTCTTCCTGATCTGAGTTGAGAGAAGAACATTGCCAAGCTGAACCAACCCATTTTCCGCGGTCGGCCGGCGACGATGAAGGCCTTTGCGGCAGCTGGCCGGCACCAAGCTGCCTTTGGGACAAAAGCTCCCACGGAAGCATTCCAAAACCATGAGTGATGTAGGGCCTCAGAATGCGGTGATGTGATATTATGAACCTATCTGGTTTTATGCGGTTTTATCCATTCATTACAGGGATATTGATATGCTTATCCCAAGCTCATGTATATACAACTCTACATGCACAAGCGGATTGTTTGTTTAGGATTGTAATATTTATATATATATAGTATAATTCTCATGTCATATCAAAGCCTGGATTTACAAAAACATGCCTTGCTATGGCATTTGTCTGATTCATTCGTTCTGTTCTTTCATAGTCTGGTTCATTGTCTCCTCTGATGCCCATTCTGCTGGGGCTTCCGAGCAGTAGAAACCCTCTGGACATGGCCTCCATCGAGACTTCATCTAAAGTCTCTGAAGCTTGCCGATTTGTTTGTTGACTTTACGGCCTATATATATATACGGTCTATATATATATATACCGAAACTTATGCTGAACGCTCGTTATTTTTTCACAGTTCAACACACTTGCCCAATCTTGCCCACCACCATGGTGCGCCCTGACACGCCCTCCCCTACTCAAAGCAAATCCAGCACTAACCACCAATGCATGGCATGGCAAAAAGAGCTTCCTCCAGGAATGAATGCCAACCATCTCAAACCATCTTAAACCAAATCCCCACAAACGGTGCCGCAAGTTCACCCAGCCTGGGACTGGTGAGGCCTGTCTCGTTGCAAAGGCTCCCCTTGCCACAGGCCATAGGAGCAGTGTCGCCCTCCTCGCAGTAGTAGCCCTGAGGACAGCGCCGTACCTCTGTCGAAGCGTTGAACCGACCTACAGCGCGGTATGACCGCTGGTCGGGGGGCACAAGGGGGCTGATTGAAGATGATGAAAAAGAGAGTCTCTTGGGCAATGATTGTTACTAGTAAAGCGAATGGGGTCAATGAATGATCTTGAGGTGCAAGAGAAGAAAAGAACAAGTGGTGGGCCAGTAAAAGAATGGCCCGCTAAAGAATGTTCACCTTTGTTTTTTCTGCATTGTTTGAGTTTGGACCCACACACATCCAATGAGTTCCTGACCTTTCCACCAGCTTCGGTGTTCCCGGTTCATTGATCTTCACACGCCACGAATCACTGGGGGGTTCGGGATGCGGCGGGGCGGTTCGGTCATTTCGATTGGTCAAGACCCAACACTACCTTCAAGGCTCTCAGTCTTCAACCTTCAAGTCGCCTGAGCGCAGCCCAACCAGTGCTGCAAAGGTTGAGGCAGCCAGGTGGCGTTGTATCCTAAGCAATTTCGAGGACCACACCGCCCGCCCGCAAATGATTTTGGCCTGCTGAATTGCATAGATGTTAAATGAAAAGCCCCAGGGCAATGCAGTTACCAAAGTAGTTTCCCTTGCGGGGACTTGCCACCAAAGTGCTGTAGAAGCCAGGAGAAGAAGGATCAGCTCCGGCGTCCCCTCATGACATGCAAATGTCGTGCATGTTATCACTGTCCTTTCTCCCCACAGTAACACGTTCATCCATCATTTGGTTCACTTGACTTTTGTACAAAACGTGATCTGAACGGACCATATGGGGCACGCCGGGGATTTGGCTTCAAAAGAACACCGAGGCCGAGGCCAAGCACAGTTCTCCTGGCCTGGGCGCTCGAAGCCGGCAGGGCATCCACCTTTGGCGGCCTTAACATCTTGGGCCTCCCAAAAGCGAAAGTCCTGAACGGAAGGATGATGGATGGAGCAGTCTTGAAATGACTTTCTCCTGCTTGAACTGTGTGACCTGGAAATCTAAGAATCTAAGGAATGGATAGGAATGGTACATTGAAGAGGAAATACATATACTTTTGGATAGTTGAAACGCCAACACACCGGGCCCCGCTCCGGGTTGGAAACTACGCCGAGGGCTCACAAGGCTCCAGCATCTCTTAAGCGGAACTGTGAATTGCCCGTTGGCTGATCAAGGATGACAAAATGTTTGGCACGAGTCTCCGGAGGCCGTACGGTATCGAGCGTCAAAGAACTACTTTGAGTTCAAGGCTTTCACACAAGGGCTGACTGCCAGTAGTCAGTATTTATGGTGATCCCTTCACTCCTCCATCAGCTTAAATGGCAATGGCAGCGGAGCATCTGGCTCCCTAGGCCAATGGCAGCAACTGGACAAGGTACAGTTGCCAAAGGGGCTTAGTTGCAAGTGAGGAAGGTTCAGCATTTCTTCTCCAGTTCGATGCATCTGCAAATCGCAACAAACGACAAAAAGACCTTTCCCCCCTGTTCTTCGGCACTCTAGCCTCCAGCCCTGGGTTCTGAACTCCCAATGCTGGTCACATACTACGGAGCCCCAGGCATGGTTGCTCGCAAGAGCTGCCAGGAAAGCAGGTGCAACGCAGGTGCTTTCCCAACGCCTTCCATGACCCCCCCCTGAGGCTTGGGATCGCCAGCTTCCGTGTCGACCCGAAGTGGCCAGGCGGCAGGAAGAAGGGCGCCACCCGTGTTTCATCCGAGTTGAGCAAGCAGCTGGGCGCCGGAGAGTCATCGGATCGGTTGAAGCGGTCGCCTCCAGCGGAGCGACGTCAGCGACCCGAAACGCTGGGCAGTCCCCACAGCACCAGAAATGGCAATGTACAAGTGTGTCAGAAGTGTGTCAGTGTGTCACAAAAATCACGTATATTAAGCCTGAACAAATCTGAAACAAATCTTCACCTGATGGGTTCGGTTGGGAGTTGGGCACGCTAAAAAGCGTGGCCAAAATTTGGAGTCAAGACTCATACGCGGGCCTGACTCTGCTCAATTTTTGGTGCATCTGTTCGACAAAGCACACAACAACTGTAAGGAAACATGACTTCGTGCAACTCTCTTGTAATTAGGTTATATATACACATCGAATTACATCGTGTGCCTCAGAAGCAGGACCGCAACAAATGAGGGAACCTGAAGTATGGCAATTCTTGTGTTCCAACTTGCTTGGAAGTAGCAGGAATCTCGACCAAGTGACACATGCAGCTGGTCTTGCCGCCGCCCTCAAAAGATGCGCCAGCAATGCACTGGCTAGCTTCGATCACCGGAAGCAAGGCCATCACAGCCTCTGCTTGGACGAACTGGTCGATTGAAGCGCTCTTCTTGACTGCTCTAGCTGCCGTACTGGGGTCAAGCAAGCTCGATTTGAGTGCAAACCAAGGCTAGAACTAGAACTGATACTAAATACATTCCGTATCAAAAGCAACAGGTTTAAGCCGAAGTGATGGCTAGCACAGTGATACAGCCCGTGAAACCTCATGAATGTGAGCGAGCGCATGTCAGTTTGCCCTGCTGTAATGCATGGTCATCTATGTAAAGTTGATGGTGGCACAACAAGCTCTAGCAGCAACTCTGTGACTCGCTCTTCTGCTGGACAATTACTCACCCCCAATCCCCCCAGCTAGTAAACATGCTTCTCAATCTAGAAACAAAACAAGCAAGCTCAAAAGGATTCGACCAACCAATGAAAAGCAGTCATTCTTCAATGCACTCACCTTTGTCTAGCCCAGCGCCGTGGACTTCATTTATCCGGCCCACATGGCACTCCATGTCCTTCCCAGTGGCCCACAGCGGTTTGGCCATGGACAGCAGCATGAGCGGCTAGCCAGACTTGGAGATGGAGAGGTGTGCAGTACGCATCAGAGTTGTGAGATTCCTCAACTATTAACGAGACGGTGGACATATGCCCCGTGCTCCGTCAAAGTGTGACTTGGCAAAGTGGTGGGAATTGACTCTCAACTTAGGAACCTTTCCATGGATTTCTTCTACGCACAGCCAAAATGGCTACCAGTTGGAGCATATTTGGCTAGCTTTGCGTCAACAAACCATCGGCTTTCGAGATGGTAAGAGAGAGGATTGTGAGCACCCTCCCCCTCCAAAATGGCATAGGGAGGACGGTGTAGAGGCTGTCATGAAACCAGACCTAGGGTCCTTGTCAACGATGTTCATAGATTGTTCTACATGTTACCCTTGCAGGACTAACATGTTGCCACTCTACTACCGCCTTTGCACGAGAGGACCTGAACATCCTGATGTTAAAACTGGCTGCAATCCAACACATGAAACCAAACATGGTACGTGCGACAACTCCCAATGGAAGGTATCCGGATCCCTTGAATTGTGAATTCCATCTGAGTCTACCAATGAGAGATGATCAAAGCTTCTTCGGTGGCGAGCCACCCATGCAATGCCATGCGTACCTTTTGGCCTCAATCCCTGGCCAAACCATGCCCATTGCTGCTGACCATTCCTTATTCAGGTCATGGCTGGATCGCCTAGCAAGAACTTTTTTCCAACAAACGTATTATAATATATTGATGTATATATATACTGTATCATGTATATTTATGGTGCTTCTTGCCTGTGCTTGAAATTTCCTTTAATGTTCTTTGTCGGCCGCTCGCCATCCTCGAAGCGAACGCCGAATCTCAACGGTGTGATCCCGTCGATGGACTCACGCCGGTGTGGCTCTCGCCCGTGCGGCTCAAGCGGCAGAGAGGCGCTGAAATCCTGACGGCGATGGTGGATATCGAGGGGCGGAATTCGACAACGGGTTGGAGATCCCGTTGATTCAAGTTCTCGAAGAACGCGCCAGATTGGCTTCACCTTGAGCTTGCCTAGTCCACATCCTGCCATTGGCTCGCCAAAACTGTTCAGCGCACACACATACACATACACACGGAGACATCTTTCTTTTGCCTCAAGCAGCGATGAGAGCAGAAAGGCTTGCTCATTCGCGCACTGGCCGAAAGGGTGTGGGCAAGACTGAATGTGTGCAGGATCTGACAGAAGTTACGTGCATGAAGCTTCATAAGTAAGCATCCAAAACCATCATGAGTCTCATTGAGTCTTTCCAGCATTTGCCCACGGGGTTCTCAACTATCTCTCCACCGTGTCACGAGCCTGAACGTATTACAGGCTGTGCTCTCAGCATGGAGGAAGAGCGCCAGGTGCGCAGAACCCACCCCCTGACTCAGGGGCCACAAAATTGAAGCTTCTGGCAGAACCCGAAAGGAATTCCATAAGTGGAAATTGTACAAAGATCAAGGAACCGTGTGGTGCCGTGAGCTAAATGAGACACTAGCTCTGCGTCTGCAGAAGCATAAGCATGGTGTTGTCAGCTCTTTCTTTCCATCGTGTCACAAGCCTCAACGTGCTGAAGGCTGTGCTCTCAGCATGGAGGAAAGTGCGACTAAAGCCTAAAGCTTCTTGCAGAAGCATTTGTTGTAAACAGGCAGTTAGTTAGATGTGATGTCTAGAGTCTAGATTTACTAAAAGTATGCCAATACATAATGCAACTGCATTTTAGCGCTCAGTCAGTGTAGAGTCCAGGGGCAGTGTCTGGAATACTGGTGGCCTGAGCGCCAATGCATCAAAACATGTCAATCATTTCAACACTGCAGTTTGACACACAACTGTCAACAAAGTGAGAGAGTGTACGGAATGTTGGAACAGGTCTGGGGACACCAAGCTGCTTCCTCCACATATCCTGCCATTCCACGGCCTCTGACAGTTGCAGTAGAAGCGGAACCAAATTCATGGTTCTGCGCGAAAACTGAGGACAACTGCATCACATTGCGCCAAAAAATAACAAACACTTGGACAAGAAGTAACATGCAGTGTAAAATGCATGAAACGAGAATTGAATAACCCTGTGGTTGTCAACAAAAGTGAGTTGTATGGGTTCTTTAGCATTCATGGAGCCCCGCACAGCCCTGCCGCCTCTTCGGTTCATGCCACTCCGTCGAGTCCGTCGCCCGCTAAAGTGACCATGCGTGAGGATCATCTTGTTAGGCTCATGGAAGACCGCAACCTGAGCTTGTCGGTACCTGTTCTGTATAGGCCTTTTAGATCACAGGGAGATACCTGGAGGATCCCGGTTGCTTTTTTCCAGGCGGTATCCCAAAGAACAAGACGAGACCAATCCACCCCCACCATGCGAGCCGGAGTTTCATCCGCCAATTCCCGACTGAAGGGGGCGGCGCTGATCAGGAGATCATCCATAATTGTCAGAGGCTTGCGACACTTACAATCTGTTTGCAAAATCCAGGAAAACCCACAGTTTTTCTTTGTCTTCAATCTGTCTGACAGTCATGGGAGTGTTGCTGAATGCTCTAATCCTCCCCTTTAGCATTTATTGTTGGCAGAAACTAGTCAATCTGAAAGCACTGGAGCGGTCGTTACCTGGAAAGTATAGAGGAACATAGGTCCACGCTGATGTTCCGGAAGGTTAACGCAGGCATCTCAGCTTTTGCGTTTTAGTATATATGCTTTAGTCCAACCACACCTAGTGACTAGTGTTCTCAAGCAGGTGCGTGAAAAACCGGCTCCGGTGAATCATGTGTTCAGCCCAACTCCGAAGCAAACACAATGACACAATGTGTCTGGAGGATTACCTTTCAGCACGTTACAAAGTCAAAAACCATTGGTGTTTCAAGAGGCTTCAGGCGAGCACACACACAGAAATGGATTTGTAAAAGCACACCGGGTAAACCTTGCAGAGATTCATGCCTTAAAAATATCCACAAATGATAACAAGCAAATGACATCAAACGGACATGCACAAGGCCAACGCCTAGGACATGCGCCGTCAGACTGGTGACTGGTGTCAAATCCAAACAGTGATAATGTCAATTCAATTCATTTTGATGTTATATACTGTAATGTGGTCCTCTGATTAATAAACGCCCCTAGAATAATGTATCTTTTTCTCCTGCACTGATTAATACAGGCCCCCAGAATAATGTATCTTTTTGGCAGGGATAATTGTAGTGGAATATGTTTAATTGTTATAGTTTACTTTTTCCCTTTTGAGTTTGCTGGGATTTGCTTCTCTTACAGGCTTTTGGATGGAGATTTCTATTACAGTAAACATTTGAAGATTTCCATTGCGTTTTGATGCTTTTGGAGGCTTTTGGATGGAGATTTCTATTCAAAATTTGGAGATTTCCATTGCGATTTGATGCTTTTGGAGGCTTTTGGATGGAGATTTCTATTCAAAATTTGAAGATTTCCATTGAGTTTTGATGCTGTTCGAGGCTTTTGGATGGAGATTTCTATTCAAATTTTGGAGATTTCCATTGAGATTTGATGCTTTTGGAGGCTTTACTTACCTAAGCTCTTTAGTCTTTAAGCTTTCCAAAACTTTCCAAGAGTCAGTTCACATTTTCTTTAGAAAATCCCTTATTCAAAAGTATTGAAAAAACAAAAAATCATTCAAGCAAAGGGGATAGTTCAGCAAGCAGCTGTCTGACATTATTTAGGGGGTGCCCCTAGAATAATGTCTAGTGACTTCAGGCTTCAAACAATTTTTTGCTTTAAGTAAACTTGTATTCATTCCCGTTCTTTTCCTTTTGATTTGCTTTACTTACCTAAGCTCTTTAGCCTTTAAGCTTTCCAAAAGTTTCCAAAAGTCAGTGCACACTTTCTTTACAAAACCCTTCTTCAAAAGTGAAGGTCTTTGGATTCAGATTTCCATTAAATTATTGAGAATACCATTTCAACTTTATTGATTTCCTTTTATTTTAGTATTCCAGATGTCTTCAATTTGAGATTTCATTGATTACCTTTTATTTTTAATATTGCCAGAGAAGGCCAAGAAGATTTTAAACAGGATTCTAATTTGCTTTTGTCCTTTGATTAGTTTTATTGTAGATTATATTGGAGGCCCTGGTTGTTGAGGGGGGGCGCGGCGGGGGCCGGGGGGGTTGTTGATTAATCAAGGGACTACATTAACTACTTAAAAGCCCAAACGAACTGAAACGAAACCTGGAGAACACCAGCAGGTTGTCAAACACAACTCTTCCAGGTACAAAAGAATAGGTCTAAAGGCTTCCAGGCCTCCCTCGAACTTCTCCAAAGCATAAAGCACGACACAATGTGTCTCGGAGTTCCGTTAATACACGAACAATTACTTGATTTGACTCATGTTCAACGTCTCTTGTCCCGGTCTTGAACTCAGCTTTCATCCCAGTTCCTCGACCAATAACCAATTGACTCGAAGTAGCCGCAGCATCAGGCTGGAACCTGATTTCAAAAACTGGGTGAGGCCCTGGAATGGTCTCCACCTCAGTCAATGAGCGCCGCTGCTCTCCGTTGCAAACGATGACGTCTCCTCGCGCCAACTCACGAGCCCATGTCTCACCTCCTGGCACAACCACGCGGTGATTTGGACTGATCCTCAGAGGAGCAACTCCATCGGCCGCAAGCTGCAGAACTGCCTCAACGTCGTGCGATGCTATTTGCGTCACCTGGAGGATCTGACCATCAGCTGCTACGACCTGCGTCCCGACCACCAAGTTGCAGGCATGGAGAAAATAGGAATTTGATGGGTCATTGTCTGCACAGACTTTGAAGAGGGCATCCTGAACGAAGCAGTTCGGGCCATACTCCTGGTTGCTGCGAAGAATCACCGACCACGAGTCATCAGAGGCGCCACCCGAGACAGCATCCATGCCATCAGCTACTCGAGATACCGAGTCGTCAGGATGCACATCGTCGACCGGCACACGAAAGGTGGCCCGGACCTCCTCCAGGATCTGCTCCAAAGCTGTTTGATAGAAGTCCGTCACTGGCCGTGTGTACTGCACTGTGCGGGGCACCGTGCGAGTTGCAGTGCGGTATCTCGTCACAGCTCTCTGCTTCGTCACGGTCCGGTATAGTGTCACTGGCCTCGTCCTCTCCTCTGTTCTATACTTTGTCACTGTGCGAGTGCGGGTGACTGGCCTGAGCTTTTGCACTTCCACGCCCACCCACTTGGTTTCCAATGTGGTCCGGCGCTTCTTTTTACCATACCAAGTCCTCTTGGTGTGAGTCACTTCCACTGGCACCGCTTGCTTCTCAATGGTGGTGT